AGACACGCTTTTAGATAGCCCAAAAATCGATTTTTGGGGCTGTTTGTACAACAGCTGTATTTTCATAACGAATCAACGTTCAAAGCCGAGACACTTTTCATTTTGTAGAAAAATGTTTAATCTACTTAATTATCTAGTTACCATTTTAGATTAGTCTGTAGCTTTATTGCAGTAACTTTTTGAAAAAGAGCAGGCCGTTGGCTGGAAAAGCCGAGAAGTGCTTATTCTAAGCTGGAAATGTCTTGTTTTTCCACAGAAATATTTGGGTGAGATTTTGTAGACAAGTATGCGACCACACTGTTCCCACTTTTTAATCGAACTACGATAAGAGTCATAAGATGTACTTCATTCTTCACGAATCGTAAACTTCTATTATTTGACTTGGTTAGTAAAAACAGTCCACCTACTGTAACTAAATACTAAAAGTAATAATCATCCGTACTTACTTTCCTCGAATTTCTACTAATGCTCTTTGTCGAAATGTATTGACCATACTGTTTAACTTTGTTGATGCTAATACGCAAATATCCGACCATTGACGAGCAAATTCTGTAACTAGAACAAAAATAAAAAATAAAAAAATGATAGAAATAACTTGACATCATGAAAAAATATAATTAAACATACTTAGTTTTGCGAATTCTATTGTTATTTCAGTATAATCTAATAATTTATGCCAGACTTGTGGATGAGAGAAATCACAGAAGTGCAATCGACGTCGACTATTATTACTATTCATATTATTTTTGTTTTCTAAGAATTATCACAGTTCAAATTTTGCAGTTATCTACAAATATAGTAAAAGAGCAGTAATCTGATTAGAAAAAAAATCCGCTATGTCAAAGTCAAAAAATATAGTTTAATATACACTGAATCATCACTGAATGAAATATATAGACTAGTAGATTACTTATTCGTTAATTTTGATAACTATTCTTTAATTATTAGACAAATGTGAGAGATCCTGTTGATTCAAAACAATATACTGTATTTCATACCTAAATTTCTTTTTCTCTTCACCACTGTAGGTTTTATATAAAAGACAAAAGAGATAAAATATTCTAAACGTTAGACTGATTTATTAACTGAACCAGACAAGATCTCTTCATTAGAAGATCTAATATAAAAGAGTGGCTGCTTATATCACAGATATAAGAAAATAGATTTTGCTTCTTTTATTTTTTTTTTTTAAAATAATTCACATAAAGAGTGAACGTTTGCTTCAGTTCATTCATTTGTTGCGTTCCAAAAGAATAAAAACATCATTTATATCTAAACGGAAGCAATCATGCAAAAAAGAAACAAACTGCGAACGCTTTTCATTTAGTTTTTTTTTGCCACATAATTAAGAGATTGAAGTCTCTTGTACTGAATCTTCTTCAACATTGTCTCGATGAGAAAGAGATCAGTAAATTTAGTTATTGCACGATCATATTTATTCTCGATTCTTCTAATCGATCTATATGTGTAAGAAAGAAAAAAATAAAAATAAAATTTAGTTATTATAAGATTTAGTTTTTGACAATAATTCATTTTAAACTTACTTAAGTACGTCCTAATTGCTTGATTTCCAAATTTTTTTCTTTCTTTTTTTTATCACTTGAGTTGTTCATGTTTTCCTCTGTCTCATTTCTTTAGAAAATTTGCTCAGATCAAGCATTAAAAACTCTATAATTTTTTTTCTTTTTTGTTTTCTATATGTTTTAAACCCTCATACACATACACACATAGTGTCAATCATTTTTTATTCTCATTTTCTATACTATATTTACCTATATACGAAGCGTTTTCTTTTGAATAAAAAAAAAAGATATAAAATAAATAAAATAAGTTCAAAAAATTTTAAATCATTTTTTTTTTTCTTTTTTAAAATTAAATACTGGATATATTTATGATGAGAAATAAAGATTTTAAAGCAATATTTTATATAAATTTAAAACGATATCAAATCTATGAGTTGATTTTCTATAAGTTTAGTCCTATTCAAGTGTGTAGAAAATTTAGAAAATCTGTAACGAAAATGGATATTGTTCGTCTAAGTATGTAAACTAAATGTAAAAGTTAGAAAAAAACAAAAATTTTTTTTGTTTTTTCATTCTTAAGAGCTTTAAAAGACTTAGCACATTCTCAATTTTAACTCTTTTCATTAATATATTTTAAGACTACTCGTTTGATGGTATACATTTCAGTTTAATTTTATAGAGATGAAGTTTTTTAACGATACCCTTATATCTTTATTAATTAATATCTTAAATGCACATTATAGTAAATTGTATAAATGGAACTTTTTATTTAGTCGTATATAACAAAATAGAAGAGGAGAGTAGAAAATGTTAACGTTTTTTATTCTTGAATTCATATAGATACACACTATTAAATCATTTTCTTGTATTTTTTTGTGTTAATGGCTCTTTAATATAGAGAAATATGAAGTTGATATAAAAAAAAACTAAAAAAAAATAAAGAGAAGAAAAAAATGATGATCATCATTATATTTTTTTAATTTAAAAGACGTCATAATAAATGGGAAAATAACTCGAAATTGTTTGAAGAAAATAATAAATAAATATGGAAATAGAACAAAAAATTAAAAATGATGATGTGCACATGGATAGAGGAAAATAATTAATCATTTCCTCAATTGTTAGTTCATGTACATTTCGTGCAATTATTTTATAAAAGAAAAAACACGTTTTGGGGAAGAGAGAGAAAAAAAAAAGAAAAAGTGATTGACTTAAAATTGAAGAAAAATCACGAATCTATAAAGAAATCTCAAAGTACTAAAAAATGACCATATTTCGATTAGAAATTGTAACTTCTTTAGTAAAACATTTTTGGAGTATAAAATTTTTAGAGTCAATATTAGATATTCTAACAGACTATATTTCTCACGCAATATTTTATATAATATAACTCATATGTTACATTGATTAAAATAATTTTTAAAAAGATAGTTTATTTTTTTGAAGCAAACTCTATCGATGATATATCGAATGATCATTCGAACTTTTTTATTATTAAAAATAGTTATGATTGAAAAATAATAGAATAAGTTAGATTACGTTAGAAATAAATTAATAATTAATATTTCATTTCACAGGAAAATGTCTTAAAATACTTGTTTAATTTATAAAGAATACGCTCTATATTTTCTTAAATTATCTTACATTTTTTTGCAAATTTAACAGATTGTAACGTGTTAGAAAATGTTTGATATTAAACTTTAAAAAATTAACGCATTTTACTTTTCAAAAACTAAAAAACATTCATTAATATTTTTGATACGAACGCACATTTTGTATTACATTTACAAAACTACCTTGTTTCTTATAGAAATTTGAAAAATGAGTTTTAAAAAAATGTTAAAACCATTTTGTAATCAATTTAAGGTTTATTATGAAGTTTCTATATTTTTCTGTTGATAAAAACCATTTCATACACAGGATTTCTTAGACTACTATATGCAATTTTCTTAAGAAAGTATTATTCTAAGTTTGGAAGATTGAATAACATTATTCATCAAGAAAATAAATGAAATAGAGAAAAAAGATGAAAACACTATTCACAAATCACTCTGTTATACTGTAGAATTAGTTTATAGAGAATTTGGCTAAAACCACTACTAACAGCAACGACTACTCATCAACAAACATTCTTTCATAGGGTATGATCGTTGTAATTCAAGTACTTTTCAAAAACTGATAAATAATCGATAACTTATTTGAAGTTTTTTTTATGGTAGTCTCTATGACGCTATATTGAAGTGAGAGAATAACAAATGGGTGTAAAATTACAAAGGAACATTGAGTAACTTTTCTACTAACTTGATGATGACAGTAGTAAGGTTAAAGTCATTTTTGTCTAGATAACAACGACCACTCTATCAAATTTTCTTACTTTTTATTTTCAGTTACGCGTTTCATTTAAAAAGAAATATATTTTTTCTGGAATGAAACCCTTTTTAATCTGATACATTAAACCTTGAAAGTTCCAGAATTATATGAGATTTGTACAAGTACCAAAAAATTTTTGGTTTTGTACTTTATACTTGTTAGGTTTCTGTAAAGAAGAAACTTTTTAAAGCATCGTCTTTCTTAAACACTTCTAATGATCGTTTGGATGGTAAATTTATTGTATGAGTAAACTTACTGCATGAAGATATAAAATAAAATTGAAACTTTCAGGTTTCAGTTTTTCAGATATCTCGGCATATGCTAAACTTGTTTATCTTCTCTCGTATAATAGCTAATAGCTGGAACAAAATATCGTCCTTATAGCAGTAAAAAAGTTCTTACCGTACACCAATGTAAAGGACTTTTCTCAGTCAAATGAATTAGGCGCCGTTCCAATGTGTTAATAACTAATAACTCAAATGCATGCATAGATAGAAAAAGTAGAAGTAGAAGGCGTGAAGAACATATACGCTGTTTAAGAGCACCTTTGTCTCGCCGTTCAAATACATTCTAATGTAGACAAAATTTACGCCAAGAAAATCAGATCATTTCCAGTATTTCACGACCTTTTTTTGTAAAAGTTATGAAGTTATTGAAGTTTTTATTCAATAGGCGGAAACAACTCGTATTTTTTAGTTTTTTTAAATTTTCTTTCGTTTCCAGTGCCTTCAAAATTTTTTCTTATACACGGTTTGATAGAGCAAAGAGTTCACTTGACAATCAGATCATTTCCAAAAAATTTCAATGGTTTTTCGTGTAGATTTAAGCATCGCGAAAAACATATTAAGAAAAAAGTGACTTGTTTAATATTATCTATAATGTTCAAAACCCTAGCGGCTCCGTTTCACTTATATAACGATCTCTCAATAAAATGGTTCAATCAAGTCTAAATTTACGTCAAACTACATCTTCAGCTCTAAGTATTTTTTTTAACGCGTTATCAACTTTATTTTTCGTCGTAAGAAGGTTTTTAAAATCAAAAACTGACTTTCTACATAGAATTTTCATTATTTTTTGAATATTTTGATTAAAAAAGATATAGCTCGATCGGACTACGTGTTCACGTTTACCATCAGGCTGAAAAAAGGAAGAAGGAGGTTATTACATTACATAAAAGTCATAAATTCATAAAAAATAAGTAAAGAAGATGAAAAAACTAAAAAGATGGATGTAGCACATTTTTCAAAGTTGAAACCTTATTAAATAATATCACTACTTCTTTTAACAAAAAAAGAGCATTATGCAAAATGAATTTTTTTTATGAGCAGTTGTTTGTCCTCCAAGATCTGGAATACTTGACTGAGCAAGTCAAAGGAATGATCCGTCTTATCTTCACCATCTTGTTTCCAAATGAATGTATTCAATTACTAGTCATTTCGAATTGACTTATGCAATTTAAGATATCCCTTTTTTTTTTTGAAAACATTTGAGTTGAACATAGCCTAAGATGTAGGGGAGTCTGGACTACAAAATAAGACCAGTCCCAGCATTCCTTGACCTTTTTGAAGAAAGTGATGAGTTTTTCAAGTTTTACTCAAGAGGCTGAACAAACTCGATTTTTGAGATTCCTTAATTTTTTTCACCTTTCCAGTACCTTCAAAAATATTTCTTATATACAATTTAATAGAGCGAAGTATTCTCGTCATAGTAAGACATCTTCCAAAATCTTCTAATCGCTTTTCGCAAAGATATAAGGATTACCGCAAATCCTGAGAAGAGTGACCTATCTTATGTTATCTATAGTACTTAAAACATTGATAGTTCTAATCTGTGTACGCTACTATCTCTAGAAAAATTCATCTGATGGGGGCCAAAATTTTATCACAGGTATTTGGAACGATATCTCTCAACGGTAACTGTGTGCTTTCGCTTCTGATTTTTTTTGTTGTAAGTTAGAGAGTTTTTAAAATCAAAAATCCCAGGTTTTACCTAGTACTTTTACCGCTTTTTTTAACTCAAAAAGGAAACCTTAAGGACGAAAAACAAAATCACCTTTCTGAGGTATCGTTCCAGGCACTTGTGATAAAATTTTGAATTCGATCAGGTGAAGTTTTTCGGGGCCGTATTATACTCCAATGAAACGATAAGTTTTCTAAAAAGAAACCTATGAAATATCATGTCAGAAAATTCTTGGCAAAAATACATCAATGTTCTTTCTCGCTGCTTCGATGTCTAATATAAATTTGGGGTTAAACGGCCAAAACCAAGAGGAAAGTAAACAAAAAAAAATGCGTGCCAGAGACCTTTCGTGAATCGAATGCAGATTAATGTCATGAAGAGCTCGAAGCCGACTTATTTTATGCAGAAATGTTTGCTCTGTACGACCTAGATATTTGGAAAAAAGATTTTTCAACGAATGTAAAGTTAGAAACCGAAGGTAGTTTAGTTTTCATTCAATATTCAGCAGGCTCCATGAAATTTTTATATACACTGCTTGAGATTGCAGACTCTACAGCTATTCATATATTTATCCAGATTTTCTTCTAGTCATTACGGTCGAGCAGAAAAATTAAAAACGAATCGCTCTAATAATATTTTGCACTACTGCATATAATTAAAATAATATTCCTTACATTCGTCCAATCTTCATATATAAATAACCTTCACCAGTGAATTTTTTTCTACAGTTATCTAACAACAATGAACGTCTGTTTTCTTTCAAATAATAATCTGATGCAATTTTCTCGATGAGATTGCAGTAATTGAATTGTCCCATGTATCCACATTATGTAAATTATGTAAGAAAAAAATGTACATAAACACTGTAAAAAGATGTGGTTTATTATCATTCAGACGGCATAAGTCGATTGAAAATGACTACTGTAACTGAATGCATTCGCCTTGAAACAAGACGATGAAGATAAGACGGATCGTTCCTTTGACTTACTCACTCAAGTATTTCAAATCTTTGAGGATCACCAACTCTTTTAGATTCATATTAGGATCTCTGAAATACTTACCTCGTCTATTGAGAATTCTTTCTACTAAAAGCAAAATAACTTAGCGAATTTTCACTCTGCTTTATAAATAACTATTGAGCGAAAAACAAAAGAGGTAAGTGAATGACTTCTTATTGTAACGTTCTAAAATAAAGTGTTCCCAGTTCGTCTTATATAAAGACGGGACAAAAAAAGTAAAACGAACATAGTAGTATAGGGAATAACAAGAGCTGTATGCACATTAAAGAATTTCAAATATAATATATATATAATACAAAAAACAACTGTATAGAATATGGATATGATTTTTGTCACTCAATGAATAACTTCTATGAAAATGAAACTGAATATTATGTTTATGATTTCACAAAAAAATTAATTAAAAACTTCATTTTCACGGCGTCTTCAAATCAGCTGGTTATTTTGTTTCTTAAAAGTTGTTTACATCTTTGATTGGTGTTATAAAATTGACAAATTAATATTCAAATAGAGAAAACAAACAATTATGACTAGGTTATTTTTTGATTCGATTCAGTTATCCATCAGGATCTTTCAAGGCAAAAAATTCTCACTTCTACATAGCCCAATAGATTTCAAAAAGTAATGAATTAGCAGAAGTAGGCTTCCTTTCTTTTCTTGTTCTCCATTGGCAATGTGAGCGTTATGTTGTACCAAAAAGAAGTAAATAAAAACTAGTTTTGAATAAACTGGAATTATACCAGTCAGAATGCACATTTCAATGTGGCCAGCGAGAACAGATCCAGGGAATTCACATGCAAATAGTGGCTAAAATCTGAAGCATCAATCACAACGTATATCTGTACATTGTTTCATGATAATCAATCAAATCGGTTAAAAATATCGGGGATCAGATATAAAAGAACATTGTTTTGATACCTATAACAAAAAACAGCATAAATCAATAACTATCGTTCGAAAATTAGAATCATTTGATATAAAATAAAAGAAGGTTGCCTATAAAAATTTGAACACCATTATCAGCAGTCACTGACATACTTCGAGCAAATTTCAGAAATTTTGTCCAATATTAAGGTGGTCTTCAGGTTTTTCAGAAAGAATCTCATTCCTGACAGAGATATGTCAAGTTATGTGACATAATTTCGAGTCAATGCATCACTTTACTGCGAATCTGAGCTCATGTATTCGAGTTCGTATTCGTATAAAATTGATTTTGCGTTTTCAGATAGAAATTTAAAGATAGTATAATGAGTTTATTACCGCTTCTAAACTAAATTAATTTCGATTCTCTATACTTTAAAATGGCAAATGACTGAATATTTTCATTATACTGGAGTTGTATAGAAGTAACTGCTAGTATGCGAGAAATAAATCAGTCCAACTATAGTTCACTTAATAATTATTAAGAATCTTCCCGACCGTTTTTACAAGAATCACATATTTTAGAAAGAATGAAGAAACTTGTACAACTGTTAGATCATATCCGGCATTCTGTTTCTCTGTTTGTCTAATTTTTTTTTCATTTATTTTTCTGACACTAAACATAAAACCAGAACGGAGAAAGGGAAAAAGTAACAAACATGTATATCTTATGTTAAATATGACACATGATGATAAACATGATAAATCAGAAAACGAAAGTAAGATGGATGAATAAATAAATGAAATGGTTATGTTAAAATCTCAAATAATCAATCAATGTATACATCCGTACATATATATATACATATACAAGATATGTGGCTCACTCTGTTTCACCATGAATACATAAAATTTCATTCATCATTAATTATAAATGAACAGAAAAGCAAACAGAAAGGAAGAACTCAAGAATAAACAAAAAAAACTGACAATGCTAGGCTAAAGTTTATAAATTCCACACTCACAAAATCAATTTGTCGGGCTTCAAAGCAATCCCTTTTCTGTAAAAAGAAAAGATTCATGTATAAAATAGAGCAAAAAATAGAAGAAACGACATACACATACACATACTCACATATAAAAAAAGGAAATAACTAACAAAAAAAGGATCGTATTTTACATAGTAAAAGAGAAAGAGAGAAAAAGTTTAATTAAACATTCCTGAATTATTATCCTTCGAAGAATTTTCAAGCCGTTGTTGTTGCTGCTGTTCAAATTTATTTATTTTTTCTTGTAAATTCGACTTTTCTCGTTCTAATGTTTCAATTGTTTGACGTTGTTCTTCAATAACTGATTCAGATAAAAGTTGACCAAGCAATTGTCTTTCATTATTGCCCGTGGAATCGGATGTTTGTGGTGATTGTCGAGGCGTTTGTAAAACGATAATAGGATTAGACGGATTTTTTTGTTGTTCAACACCGTGAATAGAAGGTGAAATAGTTGATGGTTGTTGAATTTTAATTGTAGGAAGTTGTTTATTAAGCAATGTCGATGGCACATGAATAATAGGTGTATGTTTAGTTGAAGTTACCGTTACTGTCGGAATAGCGGAGGTTTTTGTTGTTTGTAAAACAATAGGAGACGATGAAGATGATTGAATTACTGGTTTGACAATTGTTAATGGTTGTTGTTGAACCAATACCGGTTGAGTAAGCGGTTGAGCTCTTTGTTGAGGCTGTGCACGTTTACGACGTTGTGGTATGGCAGTTATTGTGGATGGTATCGATGAGTTCCAGATTCTTTCGTCACTCGATTGTAATGATGATAAATTAATTGTTGTCGGTGATATAGCTCTTGTTACGGCAATATCTTGTTGTTCAGAATTAGTTCCATCATCTTAGAAAGTAAAAATGAATGAACGTTCAATAATGGAATCGAAAGAACGCCAAACTCTTACTATGCCGAAAAAGCGATACTACAAAGTTCTGAATTAGTTCTCAGTGTAATCATGACTTAAGAAAAAAGTGAACAGTTTACTCAAAAAAGCAATGTTCTGGAAGATATCATATGAAAAACTAGTTCACCTAATATTTGACTTTAAAGATAAATAATAATTACCCCTTATAGTCACTACCGGTGGATACGTTAAGTGTTGTTGTTGCCCTTGTGGAAGCGTAACAAACGTAACTACATTTGGCTTAGATTGATTAGTTGGTGCTTGTGATGTGATAATATTTGCTGTTTGTATTATATCACCAGCTAATGTATTAGACCTTTCTTGAGCTTGAGTTGTAGCATCTATTAATGCTTGTTTAAAATCCTGTTGATTTGTTGGTGACAACAGAGAACCATCTTCAACATCGAACAAATCTTCAATACGTGTTCCATCGGGTAAATTTGAGTAAATTAATTCTCGAATAGAATCTAAAGCAACTTGTATACCGTCTACATCGCTATTAAAATCATCTAATGAAAATGATTCATTATTGTTATTGTTATTTTCGGTTCCATGCGACTGTTGTTCAAATTTTTGGTTAATCTGCTTAATGTCTTGTTGTTGCTGATAATTTACCATAGGATTCATTGATAGTGTATTTGGTGTGGCTAAGTGATATTGTTCGCCAAAATCTAATTGTTCTTCTTTTAATGGGTTCATCATTGATATGTTTGTTGACGGAGCAATTGTCATATTATTGGAGAAAGACTAAACATAAAAATATAAGAATAGATAAAGAAGTAGAAGGGTGTCTAAGAAAACGTTATTTTTTATTTGTTGATGACTACACTCTTAGCTACAAACAATCTACTTCCATTGATTTTCTTTATATACTATGACAATACTTCATGCAGACAATTAAGAGTTTTGTACATGACTAGAGATCATCAAATCTTATGGAAGTATAAGAAACCTGACATGGCTAATATCTTACTCAACATGTAAACTATCTTTGAAAGAAAAGTGCGCGCTCGATTATCCACTAGTAAATCTTAACAGGACGACTTAGGCTTTACTTTTATGATGGCAACTATCCTAAAACACAAAACACAGGATTTATTTATTGCAACTAAAAATTCACATATAACTGTTTTTACTGAGAAAAAAACAGTTATCGATTGGGAACTCATTGAGGACAGTCAAAGATCAGAGATTTGACGTAGAAAATCAAGCTGTTGCAGGAGAATGATGAAATACTATGAGAAAGTCTATTTGACTCTTACACGAAAATAGAATGATGACTGATGTTCTTAGTTCTACATAATAACATACGTTTCAGAAAGACCCATAATATGCAGTATCGTACTGCAAATATCAATAAAAAAGGTACAGCCATGCCTCTTCTATGTGTCTGCAAATGCGAAGAATTGTCTTTATTGTATCAAACATTTTATTAACTTATATCGGATAAATATGAACATAACTGTGGTAATTATCTGTATCTATGAAGAAAGAAGAATATTCTTATGTACGAAAACCAAAAACTGATAAAGAAAATCCTATTCTTTGAACTTAAAATATTTTCCCGCCACTTAAGCTTGTTTAGTAATTTATTATTATTATAAAAAATGTTAGATTATTGTTATCGAGCATCCAACTCCCATTGTTACCCTATGTTGATCATTTGATGCTGTTTGATTCACTCCATTATCAGTATGTAAAAAGAAATCTGGCATAAATATTCCATTATCACCAATATTTCTTCCGGTTGAACTTCGATTTGGATATTTATTGTTATTTTGTATATGATCATTCCTCGTTGTAGTTGTCGTTGGTCCAAAATCCATGGAATCATCATTACTTATCCAATAATCATTTGTCGGATGTTGTGCGTCATCGTTATCGTCATGATAACGATGAGCACTTGTTTCATCGACCATAAAATTGCCGGAATTGCCGTCGCTCGGATGTAATTGTGATGGTGGTGGTGGTGATGGTACTAGATCCACTAATGGTGAACTTGTCGTACCATGCAACCAGTTAGCTTGGTCATTATCACTTATTTCATTAATCGTTACACTTTGTTGACGTCCAATATTTAGTGGATGTTGCTGATGTAATGAATTTAGATTTGGATCATTTGGATGAACATTAATATTAGGTACAAGACGTGTGGCATGTTGAATGGATCGATGAGATTGTGGTTGTTGTTGCTGATATTGTTGATGCATACCGTCTAAAACAAAATACAGAAAGATTTATGAAAAATAGATCGGTACACGAAAATTGTTTTTGTATAACTCACGTTGTTGCTGTTGCTGCGCTTGTTGTTGCTGTGCACTATTTCGTTTTACAGGTTTAAGCTCAATATCTGTATCTCCAATCATCAATGGTTTTCGTTTCAATGCACCATTTGATCCATTGCCTGTTGTCGAATGCATGACACCATTATCATTTTCATTTACCAAATTACCACTATTCTGTAATAAATTTTGTGTATTGATACTCTGCTGCTGCTGGTGCTGCTGATCACTTTCTGATCGATGAGGATGATGTTGAATTAAATTTGGTTGCATCGGTCCGGTAACTTGTCTTTGATTATGTTGAGTATTTGTTACAAAATGTAGTAAAAATTCCATTAGTTTTGATACAATTTGCTGCTGTTTTGAATGTTTTTGTCTCAATGAAGAAATTTCACGCCACAGAGCTTCATTTTCAGTTTGTATATTATTTAATTTTTCATTTAATGATGTTTGTTTATTTTTTAGTGATTTTACGTCTTCGAGTACATGAATAAATTCAACTGGACGATTTGATTTCGGGTCCATATATGGTGTTTGAATTATAGTTGTTGATGATGGACCTAAACATGATACTTTTATGTAAAATAACTCGGTCAATATTCTGTTTAGTTACAGACCTATTTGAGATGGTTGTTGATGTTGTTTTTGTTGATTATCGGGCGCTCGTCGTTTAATTAGTTCCAATAGTGTATCTTGTCCACGAATAAAATTTGGATGAGCAAATTCAATATCATCACGTTCTGATCTCAATGAACCATGTTCAATATTGGATATTTTTCGAAAACCATACATATTTAATTGGCGAATAAATGATGCAAAATTATTATGTTTAAAATAACGTGGTAAAATTTCTCGTGAAAATCGTGCTTGATCATAGACATGAAATGATCCACCAGATGAATCCCATGCAATAAGATCATCACATGATGAATCATTAATTAATATCCATAATTTATTAAGGAATGCGGGTACTGGAGTTTGTTGAAGAGTAACACCGACGCTACCGATTGATTGACGTCCATAATCATCAGAACCAGACGACATCACGATTATTTAAACACAAACAACACAAATTAATTAATTGTCTCAAAAATACTGAAACGAAAGAACGAATACAAAATAGTTTTTTATTTTTTAACTATTATAATTTAAAAAAGATAAATCTAAAACAAAAACGAAAAGATAGTCTTAGTCTGATATATATGGTGTTGCGCGACAAAACAAATCCCACTTCTGAGTGTGTAACGTATAATAATTGTTTTGTATAAGAAACACTCTTTATAACATTCCTTTATAATACGCCATTAAATAGTTCTTAAAGAAAAAGTTTTTGGTTGACAAAGGTTTATTAGCTAAATAGTATAAAAGGGAGTACAAATCTAATCTAGTTATTGATTTTTTTTCTGTATTGAATATTGTCGAATTGACTTCGAATCATAAAGCCATACAGTATCAATTCCTTCTCCAGTGGTTTTTGTAAATTGTATAGGAAATTGATATCGACATGTAACAACAACACCATCATGACATATTTCTTTTGATAATTTGATTAATAACGGTTCCATCTAAAACACGGAGAGATCAAGTTGGACTTTCATTACGCTTCAATATAGAAAAAAAATTCTCGATATATGAGGAATATAGTAATGGAGTATCCGATAGGTATAAAGAATGAATAGTTCAGAAATACAATAGACACAGAATTTTAGTCGAACAGAACTATTGATTAGCTACAGAAATTTGACATTTTCATTCGTACTCTTAATCAAACAGTAATCACAATTTCACACACTATGTTTTCAAATAGTGTCGTCTCATTAATGAACACTCATATTGTTATACTAACTATATGTCGGTATATACACTTAAAGTGCATCGAGACAGCAGCTAAGTTTTTCAGTGATAAAAGAATGCGGTTATATACGCTGTTTAGCTCAAGTTTATCCCAAATAAAAATAGTCCACGTTTATGAATTATGTTTTAGTTTTTGATGAATTATGTTTGACATTTTCAAAAATTAAATAAAAGGATAAAATCTGTTTTCTACCGTTTACAATGTCTTCAAAATGAATCTCCTTTTTGGAGTTTCTAGACTAATTCTCGGTACATAGTTAACAACTTTAGAATAGACACTTAAAACGGTTGTCAAGTACTCGTTTTGTGCCCTTACAATTTCGCAATAATATGAATTTTAGCGCCAAAGAAAAAAAGTATCTCCTGAACTCATTATGTGTGAAAACAATTGTGTGTAGAATAGAAGTTAAAAAAGGTTTTTACTATAACAAAACAAAACGAGAACTATAATAAACACGAACTGTTCAAGTGAACAAGGTAAGATGAATTTTTTATTATTTCTATGTCTCTATTTTGGTAGTTCCTCTCTCTCTCTCTCTCTTTTAATGAATTAATCAAATTCATTTTCTGTCAGCGGAAAAAAGTTATAAAGCGAGAGAACCCTTTCTCTTAAAAAGTTTGCTCATGTTTTGACATTTTCTAGAGCATATCAAGTGACGTATGTTCTGAAGATTTTTTGCTTTAAAAAGAAATTCCATCGGAAATATAAGTTTTTGAAGTTGATTTCTTAAAACTTTGAAAAGTTGTCAAAAAAGAAGTTAAAAAGTAAACTCAACTTTTAGTATGGTCGGATAGAGCACATCACATAACACATATCCTAAAGCTTTCAGCTTTTCAAGATAAGATATATCTATCAAAAAGTTAGTTTTTGAAGAGCAAATCTCGCAAAGGAAACATTCTCAGTATTAGTAAAAATCTGTTGTAGATGATGTTTTAATCAATAGCAAATCTTAAAAATTCTGGAATGCATTTAAAAGAATAAAAAAACTTCGTTTACTGTATATAACTTCATATGCTCTACTAACGACCAAAGTATGAGGTCAAGTTTATTAGAAGAATTTCTCCTAACAGATGGAACATTAACGAGTTACAAACATCGGAAAAACAAGGTTTAAATTACTCATTCTTACTGCATTTTAATAAGTAATTCAATGGTAATTCATCAAATATTATCGAAAAAAAGTTGAAAAATGATGTAACAAACTAAATCTTCTTAGATAAACCGATATGTTTTCATTACAATTGATCTGAGTCAGTTTATTTGACAAATCAAGTTTTCAAGAAATTATAAAAATTTATTATTTACATTTATTTCTAGCGTAATCGTTGGAAAAAATAATGCAGTTGCCTTTGACTACGTTGATCGTATTGATGTTAACAATACAAATTATGGCTCAACAGAGATCAACAATTAGCTGTTATATGTGTCTATCGGCATGTCCTGCTGTTCCTAGTGATGCTACACAAGCCTGTGGAGATACTGATAATGGTAATGCTACTGGTTTAGATTTTTTAAAAAAAATTATCGGTTTTGACTCGACTACGTATGAAACACTGAATACCCAATTACAAACGGATTTTCCAGATTCAAACACAACTTTTACCGATTTAACACAATATACGTGTGTAACAAATAAAGATAAAACAAGATATTGTTTAAGAATGCCAAAAGGTACGTAGAAATAGACATATTCTATAATACATGATGAATCATTTTCTCGACTATAATTTAAATAGTTTTAATATACATATATTCTCAACATTAAGGATTTTGTGATACAAAATCAAAAGGTTTTTGGCAAGGTCTATTAGGAAATGCAATCGGTAAAGTTACAGGATTATTCAATCAAGTAAAAAGTGTACTATGGAAAAATTCGCCGTTAAATAACACACTACAATACGTAAGTGAATTTAGTTTTTGTTTAATATTTTGATAAACAATGTTATTCTCTATTTATTATTATTATTTTTTTTTTAAGAATATTACAAGTTGGCTAACAGATAACTATTTCGAAAAACTGAAAAATGCTGACAATGGTGTCGAAAACTGTTGTGAAGGTAGTTTATGTAATAATGGTTATACACTCAAATTAACAATAAATGTTATTATTGGATCGATTTTAATATTTTTATTTTCAACATATTCGATGATAAAATCAACAAATTGAACAAATTTCAATATTCTCTATTAATTGTACATAAATGAAAACAAATGAATGATATTAGTGAGAGAACTGATGGATCAATCTTTCGATGAACTTCTATCAGATTGTGTAATATGTAGTTCATGTTAGACTAAATATTAAAAAACGAATAAAACTTCAACGTACATCGATCAATGACTCATATCATACGAGAGATTATTAGATAAACATCATAATATAAGAGAATCTCTTGTTTAATCAACATAAACCAAAAAATAGTTACTTAAAACTAATAACAATGAAATTAAAACGAAAAAAGAACAAGAATGTTTTTGACTTAGAAAACCAGCAAGAAAAATAAAATAACCTTTTCCTACTTTAAACGTTAATATTTTAATTAGTATCTATGATATTAAAAATATCTATGATTAGCATTCGTTTGATGTTTTCATTTCAAAAAACATCTAAAATGAGTGTTACTGATAAAAAGAAGTCAATGTGGTGTTAATTGTGACCATCTTACATTTTTTTTATATTCGTTTCTTTTCATCGATGAAAAAGGAAACTGTTAGAATTTAGACCTTTGTTTTGTGGTCTCTCTGAAAGTAAAGAGAGAATGCATGATACTGCTCACTGTACGGTACAAAACAAATACAACAATATTGTTCGTTCTTCATTCTTTTCATAATGTTATTTAACAAAAAATACTTTTTAGAATATTGAAACGATTTATAAAATTAATTATCCTAAAAAACATTAAGAATAGTATAGTTATATAAATGTAGATCAAAAATCCACGGGAGATATGTTAGATACGTTCGTTTCACACAAAACGATCTTCAGTTCAATTGAAACCCGAGAGGTAGACAAATGTTGTGAGGGAGCTACAGTCTGAAATGCTAGCTTTTTAAGAACAATAATTGTTAATTTTTTTTAAAGGGAACACCACTCGCTAGATAAATCATTGATTAACCGTGAGGCTGAGTTAAACAAAACCTTGTTCAACTTTCTTTTATATCTCACTCTTGTGATTACAAAGAAAGGTGTTCCTCAGTGTCCTGCACAGGAAACGTTTGTAATGAAAGTTGTATATCTCATGCATGGTCATTAAATTGGAAATGATTGGCACATAAATGGGTAGATATCTACCATGTTGAAATTATTATACTGACAAAATGTTTCTGATTATTAAGCTGAATATGCTGGTCACGAATTTAAATAATACAGGTTTCCTAAATGATTCAAAAAAGTTACATCAGTTGTACTACATAAAGAATTATCAACTAAAACTGTACATCGTAATAACCTGCAATCAACGATATCAAGCAAAACATTACTATCCAAACTTTTCATTTATTAAATTCATTCAAGCGAATTGCAACAGAATATAAAATGTAACGAGAATACTTTAACATTAACCGAAATTTCTAGTTAAAAGAACAATGCATATGTGGAGAATATTTATTTGCACATGTTAAGCGGATCAGAAATGAAAAAACTGGTTTGCCATCTCGATAGTAGGATTATTTCAAAGTTTTCTATACCATACATTTTACTTCCAAGTGCAACACGTATCACTAGTAATTTGATGACTATGAGCCAGATATATGTGAGACATTTGTATCATCTTGAATTACCGAACAGTAAGTATTCTAGCTTAGAAAAATAAGCTTCTTACTTCTTTTGGGAAATAAAGCTCGATTTTCAAAAATAAGTAAAGTGCATAGGCAAAAGAAGAGTAGCAAATTTCTACTAACAAGGCAAAGACGAGCATAGACTTAAGTTTAATATCAGGTGAACAATTTTTAACTAACTTACCATTGAATCAACTCCAAAAATAACAATATTTTCATATTTGGATAAATCATGCTGAAAATACACACAAGAAAATGAAAGATGTTGATCATAAGACTATAAACATACTTTCCAAATATTCGCACGTTTGAAGTTCCATGATGACAACGGATACCGACCACCATTGATTAATGCATAAATTCGTGAATAATATAATAGTACTCGATTTAATTCAATACCGGTTGATTGTTTAAAACCTTGTTTAATTGATTCAAATACCTATAAACAAAAGTATCATGAATAAAACGTAAAAACAAAATGTATTTAATAAAGATACGTACACACACTTACAATTCGACCATCGCCACTTCCCAAATCGACTAAAGATTGTATTTGACGATTACGATTTTTTAATAAATGGAATATGTTTGTTATTTGTTCTTTTGTAGCTGGAACATAAGGTAAGGCGTGTTTACGTAACGCTGGCGTAACAAAAGGTAATGCCAGCACAGTGAGACCTACTCCAACTCCGCCAAATATACCAAGTAGTATACGTCCTACTGTCTTTGATCTCGATGATGATAAATCATGCTGTATAACATTCGATGACAAAGCAACAGCATCGTTGGTCATTGAAAATAAGAATGAAAACTAATTTTATCAAAAATAGAAACAAACTATAAATTTCGCATCAGTTCGGTTGCTATTAACTCGACAACTGCCTTTGAATCATTTATCCTACGGTCTGACTATGCAGGTTGAATAAGCTACTTGTTTCAGTTAATCGATCCGGTTAAAACCCTAAGTGGCGGCATAAGCCTTGCGCTAGATGTTTATTCTCTTTAGAATGAAATATGACAATGAACTTGGGAAGTAAACAGAAGACTTGAAATAGCAATTTAAACGGTGAAACTTCTTCTAGAGCAAAATACGGAAGATACATGCAGTTAACAAAATCTTATTTTTTCTATATAAAAGATTGAGGATATTTATTTTCATCATGGCGTATGTATCAAGTAAAATTGAACCTAATTCACAAAGAAGGCAGAATTTAAGAAAACCCATCCTAAAAATGACCCAGAAAACATCAATGACATATAATAAAAATAAAATAACGATCAGGACAAAGGCACTGTAAGGATCCGAAGATTAACTGTCTAAGTAAATTTCTCGTGGAGGAAGTATGAATCAGCGGCTTTTAATAATGCGAAAAAAGCTTTTCAGGTCTTCAACAGAAGAGAAAAAATATTATTCGGCGAAAATGCCCCGACTGACTTCTGATGCAAGAGGGACAGTTTATGCTAACTAGGCCTGCTCACTCTGAATACAAAAGATGTGTCATCCATTTTGTCGTTTCTCCCTTTCTTATTAGATATGAGCCACAGAACGAAAGAAATACAGCCAATGAGATGTAATTATACATTACGATTGGACTTTTGTGGTTACGATAAAATAGACGCAAAAGTTGAGCGCACGCTTGCGCTTAACTAATCTTGCTCGTCATTGGTGGATTTCGAATTAGTTAATCGTCAACACCTGGCTTTTCTTTGACATTAGGATCAAGTGTGAACCTCTATATTAAAAGCTCGTCGATTATGTTTAATTAACTTTAAATTAATAGAGATTTCAAAAATTAAGTATTCTTGATTGATGCAATATACTGTACGAACTTTGGACTCATAATTCCGCAGGTTCAAACTGAGTGAGAACGGAATAGGCATATGACGACAGAATCTGATTGATAAAAATAGACAGCCATTTTTTTTTGGTGTAAGCGTCATCTATGGTTATTGAAAAAAAGGAATCTAAGGCGCCACAGTAGATTTTAAGATCTTATAGTAGTTCCCTTGACTTTATTCTTACAAAATGGTTGTCTTTCTATGCGCAAAATTGGGAATGATGGCTGTCAGACATTTCATGAATAAGCCAATCACAAGAGAGGAAAATCGAAATTCTTTTTTTAACCGTGAGAGAGAAAATATTCAGCGAGATACTAAAATATCTGCTGCTGAAGAGATATGAGAAAAAGAACTCAGCAACCTTTTTCTATTGTGCGGTGATAGATGTCACCAGAAAGCAGTCAATTTTGATAACACAAAAAAAAGTCATCTATAGATAATAAAACTTATAGAAATATTACTAAGAAATTTGCACATAGGGGTCTACGTGATCGTATGTTTGTATGTCATAAAGACTTTATCGAAAAATGAGATGGCATATTGCTGTCTAGAAATCTATTTCAATGCTGTCTGCAGACGTAAAACAAAACAGTGAATATGTTGGATATTCTTCCTAAGAAATCTCTAGAGAGTCACCCGTCAATCACCAGGGACTTCATTATTTCTCCCTACTCCCTGAAAATTAGGGAGAGATTTGAGAACTCCCTACCTCGTTGAAACTCCCGAGAAAACTCCCGTAGGTAGTCAGATGGGACTTCTAAGGAACTGCTCATGACTCCCGCGGGATTTTTAAGGAACTCTGCAGGACTTCCCCTGGCCTTTGAACAATCCTAGTCGTACAGGAGTCCCTTAAAAGTCCCATCCGAATCCCTACGGACTGCCGTGACAAATTCCTGGGCGATTTTTTCGGGACTTTCAACTGGGGTAGGAATTTCACGTTATTCCGGGAACTCACCGAGGACTTGATCAGGAAAAGTGGACTAGGGTAGCTATGCAGCAGACGGGACTTATCAAGTTTTACACGTGGTGCAAAATCGTGCAACCACAATTCAATCAGCTCGCTAATCCTCATTTAATATTCACTGATAACAATAAATATTTATCTGACCCGATTTTGGAAATAGTAGAATTCAGCTGTTTACTGTGCGAGACCAGTGTGCAGTTATAATACCTAAAAATAATTTGCGTGGTTCTGTAGAATTTACAGTCGATTGTAATAGATATCCCTGTAAAAATAATTTTTAGTGGCGCTTATTCGGCGCCGGTGTGCGCCAGTGCCAGAAAAATTATCAGCTTTCACACTGACGCGCACCCGGGCGGACTGATACGTTTTTATTGGCAGAGGTACGCACCGGTGCCGAAAAAGTGCCGATATATCATAAGATCTTTACTTAAATCTTCTTACTTTATTGGCACCATTGCGCAACAGTGCCAAATTTTTTCTTCAATCATCGTTTTGTTTTGTCGACGTCCGTCTATAAAGGGTGGTCCGTAAGTCCTGAAGCCACTTTTCTATTAAATTTTTATTCATACTGACTTGTGTTTAAAAATTTAATATTAGCTCAAAAGATAGAAAATTTAATTCTCTAGGAAACTGTCAATTTTATTTTGAAATTATTTTCGAAATTTCAGCAGAATATTCCAATTTTCTAATCCACACAGAATAAGCTTAACTTCTTTTATGAAGCGTTGGTAATCTCTGAATTCAACTTTCGGATAATTATTTTAACGGCAAAAGATGCAGAATCTTACGTTGTACAATCCGACACTGTTTGTGTAAAATTAATACGTTTACGAGAAAGAGAGCCCTGAATTGATTGACTTACGTACACTGTAAAGTCGGGAATTATTTATAGAAAATGCTCGGCGATTTTCAAAAAGTCCATATATAAAATCCTCATGCATTTTCCAGGTTATAGAAAATCGAATTTCCAATATTGTCGGGATCCATTTATAGAAAATCAATTTTGATTTTCAGGAAAGTTGGAAAATCGACATCGATTTTCTGCATTGTGGAGAATTATTTATAGAAAATCCTCAGCGATTTTATATATGGGCTTTTCGAAAATCGAAAATCGAGTGGATTATGCTACTTTCTGGAAAATCCTCAGCGATTTTCTAGATGAGGAAGAACAATTTGAGTGAGAATGCCGATAATCAGAGACTTGAAAAGTGAAAATGGCTGAAGATAAACTTTTTCACCGTTATTAAAAGCTATTGAACTTCGAAGTTGAGTGGGGTGTATTATTTCAGTCTTTATTATTGTGCATTGCTCAAATATTTGACTTTTACGTTCACAGTTCAGAAGAATAAAAAAATAACTATTATTTATTTAAAAAATAAACAACATAAATGTGACATTATAGGATCATGTCCTTGAGTTGATAGAACCAACTACATTTTTGGAAGATACTAAATTCAGAAATAAAAAGAAGAATATTAGGAAGAGCGAATCACTTTGCAATACTCCGAAAGTTACGGTAGAACTCGACTTTGTCGTAACCAAGCCTAATCCAAGAACCTTTTCAGTACCTCTTTGTGATCTCTAAGTGTCATACAACAATAATACTTCACGAAGAATATGCTGATTTGCAAAAACTGAGAGAGCTTTTCGAATCTATTAACGTTTCCTATGTTAAATACTAAAAGGGGCAGAGATCTGTTATAAGATAACTTGTTTCAAGGAAGGCTTTGATAGATGTGAAAGAAGCAAGACATTTCTCTTATTCTGGACTAACCAAGTTCATTACTTTTCCAAAAGCCCCCCTCTTAAAATTTTAAGCTAATATCTGTCTAATATTAGGTTAAACGAGGTTTAAACGTGATGAACATGTTTTAAACCCACTGTATCAAGAAAACGTTGAGCACCAAGTGACAAATTGAAATCTCTTGTTTTGAACACAATGCCATTCATTGTTTGAAGGGTAAATTTTGTACTGAGTGGATAACTAATATTAAACACTTCATATGCAGCTAATAATTAAATTTTACATGCGCTGCTAATAGCACGTTGCAAAAAGTGACCTCGCTCTTGTAAAATATTGGATTCACTTGATTTTTCGACAACTGACAGGTGTAAGAATTTGGTACTCACACAGGATTGCAGCATGACCACGGTATCGGACTATATAGCGATAAAATTAGTAATCGTCATAGTCCTCGACAGTTTTTATATCTCGATCGGGATTAAATCTATCGAGACGCCCCGTTAGACCGCCACACGGAACTTTATCTTGACATATCGCGCGATATAAAGGTTTCGCTTTCCATCCCGACAGATTATTATCTCGATAAGATGCTTTATCGCAATAATGGAGATCTTTATTTCGATAAAAATTTCATCGGGGACAGAAACCGATAACTTCATTCCGCATGGTATATCACGATAAATTGTTTTATAGCGGTTTAACGTGGCGTCTCGATAGAGTTAAGACCTATCGAGATATAAGATACAAAATATCGCCTCTAATCGGGATATTTTATCGAAAAAAAATCGCATGGGTAAATGTTATTTTGCATGTTGTACTATGTTCATTTTTTTGTTTATTTCGTAAACGTTCAACTTTTTCAACATGATATTCATCTTTTAAAACTTCTTCTATATCTTGTGGGGATATTTCAACATCTACTCCTGTTACAAATGCTTCCTTGTCTGTATATCCAACATTTTTTGGATGACGCGTGGAATAAATATTTTCATTTGTGGATGGATAGTGTTGTATTTGTGCTGGAACAAATTTTGTTAAGAGTTCGTTTAAGCTTTTAGTATCCTTTGCATACAATGTAAATGTACCGGCTTTGGTTTTTTGTATATCATTTAATTTAACGTCGGGTAATCTTGATGTGATTGATTTACTCAATGTGAATCTAGTAGTTGTAACACCTTCTAATACAAGCGGTGCGATTTTTGATTATTTTGTTCTTGTCGCAGCAGGTGCAGTTCTCTTTGCATTGTGATCTGATGTTGTGTCCTTCCGTTTTGCAGAATTTGTTTGTCCCGCTGGAGGGCCTGGTTCATCTGGTTTTTACCAAGTGAATTTGAATACGATGGTTTAATTCATATAACAAAATTTAGATTATTAAATTTGAACGTTTAGATCAACATGGAAAATTAATTTCACGTGATACGTCCGTTCACTATCTCATTAGTATCTCTTTCCTTGTATAACATTGATTTTGTGCTGTTCAATAGCTGCAACCGAGACTATTTTAATAAAAAAATTAGATAAAAAATCCATTTCCACGAGCCCAGTTCAAAGTTAAGTTAACTCTTCAACTATTGAGTTTATACTTCAAACTTTTCCAGTTTGCAGAGCACATTTCAGCATGTATATCGTGAAGTTTTTTCGGCTTACGGCCATTAATTGATTGAGAAAACATTTACTTACTCTCAACATCTAGGCTGATTTGAAGAAAATAATGTATTTTTTGAAGTATCATATGTTGATGTAAAAGATTGCAGAAGTAGCTATGTTGTAGGCTATGAAATTCTCTATTAGAAGAGGTTTAGCTCGATTTTCTAACTTATGTTGGATAGTTATTTTACTTCACTACTTTAAGAGAGTGAAGTGGAATAAAGCAGTGTTAGTCAGCGCTAATTAGTCATCAAAAGAAGAAAAGAGCTAAAATGTTTACCTTCTTAAGCGGGAAAAAATGCTATTGCACAAGTAGATGGATGTGAGTTTTAGCGATCTTTCATGTCAAGACTTTCTCCAAACTCACTGAAGTTAATTAGTTTCATGAGTTTTTCAGCGCTTGTCAACTGCTGATCGAAATTAACTCAAATGGGTAATTCCGATTAACGCTACCATCATCGAAGTAATACGACTTTTGCTCATCTATGAATGTGCTCAACCCTCACCCTCAATTAAAAATTAGCACATCTTGTACGAAATTTCATGTACTTTACAACCAGGTGTTTGGCAACCCGAGATCACCTTTCCGTAATTAACTGATGAGAGACAACATGAAAAGAAAGAACTTCATTTGCGCTAAATGCAAGCACGCTGTCAAATCTATTGCAGTAATTTCGATCACTCCATATTCAACAAGACTGTGTGAAAAAAGAAAAAGTAGTCGGTTGACGATTAGCCTCATAAACGGGTTGATCGGTTTTATTGTCATCGAAGGTTAGATTTTTAATCTATTAGTTGATTCAAATTTACAAAAATTTGGGAAAGATTTACGAGAACTAATTAATATTAATCGACAAACAAGCTTGATTGCTAACTGCATTCCTTGTCGTAAAGACGATAGTATACATGACGACCGCAATCAGAGTTTGACTCTAATACAGCTGCTTGCTCTTCTAAAAATCTCACAAATCGATCTGTTTTTCTGATCCAAGTGGATATTTCAGATGCGTGATCTTGCTAGTTGAAATATTATTCATCTAGCAAATAGTATAGAGTAAGCACTTGCGTTCCTTGGGATATGTTTTTGCAGAAAAAATATCCTGCAAAATCCTCAATGGAAAGTTCAATAGCAAAAAATATTTTTCCACAGGAACTTCCGAATCATGTTTTGTTTTCACTGGCGAGTGCAATCGCGATGCGCCATTTCTATGTAGATATGCTTGAAAAAACTTCTGTGTATGCCGATGAACTGTTAGTTCATTGCACGATTGTATCTTCCAGGCCGAATTCGTCCGATCGAGTCCTGTCAGATCCGTTAAGAACTCGGCTATTTCCGGCGATCGGACGCCCAGCCGCCGAAATCCTTTACATTCGAACACTTCCGACGATTACCGGTGGCTGGTCTCCGACCGAATACGTATGACCGGATCCGATGGTAGAACCGAACGGATCCGTTAGTTTCCCGTGGCCGAAATTAAAAGATTTCTCTTAAAGGATCGATAATTTATTTCAAATGTGAGTAAGGTGAAGATACTAATCTGCTAATTGGCAATCCTTCCTTCTATCGACAAAGACAGTAAGCAGGAACATTTAAGAGACATGATCAGATTGAAAACGACATCTTCTCTTCTTATCGACTGATGTTTGTAGGAAAAGTTGAAGGCTGTTGGGTGACTCTCTACTCTGTTCTGATTTTTTGCGACGTTTTTTCCAAAAACAAACAGCGTTACCGCTTGTTTCTGTTTTGTTTGTGACTTACAGCTGGTTTCTAATTATCATTTTTCTTTTTACATAATACAGATGCAGTACAGCACTACTGTACAGAAAACAGGATATATGTTTCAAAAATACCAGCAGAGTACTCAAGAAACTCATTCGTAGTACTCAACTACTCAATATTAGCACCGCAGTACTCGTTTGCAGTACTCAGATACTCATAATGCAGTATGAGTACGAACGATGAGGACTCAGAAACTATGAGTACTCATGAGTTCTCGCGGCATTTTATAGCATGAGTACTTTACGGGTACTCATGCATGATGAATACCTTCACTAGGGTCGTGTCTTATTGATCAGACAATTAGTGCTGTTCCTTTTATATTGCAGTGATCTGATCACAGTCCTGCACCAGATCATCGGATCTTGATTTAGAAAAAATGCTCAAAACAAGTTAACTAACTCATTTCGATTGTAAAACTCATACCTGGTATTGATATAACACTACCGTAAATTGTATTTTATCTTGTTACATGTGTTGTGCAATGCGAATGACTAATAAAGAAAGCGTTAAAATGTTCTAAACATTTTTTTTATGTGAACAGAATTTATATCATTTTATACTTATTTTTTCCTTTCTTTTCGCATGCAGCAAATGACAAATCGAAAAAACAAAATAGTAAGGGAAGCCGTCAAAAATAACAGAATGCGTAGAACGTAGACGTAGACTATATTCTACGCGTGGAAAAATCTATGCGTAGAATTTATTTTTCTACGCGTAGAATATATTTGTCTACGCACTGATATAGAGCAGTATGCCCTAATTCTGGCAGGAGAAATTTCAAGTTCACTAATTTTCGTTTTTCGGTGGTATTTCTTTAAGATTAAAGAAAAATTTTTATATAGCGGTGTAGCTGAGATTCTGCTCTATCGAACTATGTAAAAATATCTGAGATCTCTATTGCCACTATTCATTAATCAGAGTAAAAATAAACTATACTCTCAATTCTTTTTCTTTTCTGTCGTTTCCTAATTCTGTCATGTAGTGTGTTTTTTATTCCTAATTCTGTCAGGCCCATTCAAATACATGGCGTTTTCACATCGATGTTAAAAACAAAGTTTTTTTCGCTTACTAAGATAATCGAAACTTTCTAAATTTTATATAGGGACACTCAGAAGACAAT